TCAAACTCTCTGCCTCCGAGCAGAGAGGATCCCCAAACGAGGTTATGTCGAAGGGCAGAGTCTCGTCTCGGCAGACAGCTACCCGACCCCGTTTTTAATTGATTGGTCACTAAGAGGAATTAATCAAATAGCTTAGTATAAATCTTATGGAACTCTCCTGTCATTCTGTTCATTCCTCCGGGTCGGGAAGATCACTCTACGGATTACTTCGGGAGTGTGTTGGTCAAACTCTCTGCCTCGAGCAGAGAGCGAGGAGAAGGATCCCCAAACGAGGTTTTAATTATTGTCGAAGGGCTTTTAGAACTCTCCTGTCATTCTGTCATTCCTCCGGTCTCGGCAGACTCTGCCTCCGAGCAGAGAGGATCCCAAACCGAAGGGCAGAGTCTCGTCTCGGCAGACAGCTACCGTTTTAATTGGTCTGACCCCCGTTTTAATTGATTAGTCACTAAGAGGAATTAATCAAATAGCTTAGTATAAATCTTATGGAACTCTCCTGTCATTCTGTTCATTCCTCCGGGTCGGGAAGATCAAATCTCTCTACGGATTACTTCGAAGGGAGAGTGTGTCTCGGCAGACAAACCCTCACTAAGAGGAATTAATCCTCCGAGCAGAGAGGATCCCCAAACGAGGTTATGTCGAAGGGCAGAGTCTCGTCTCGGCAGACAGCTACCCGACCCCGTTTTAATTGATTGGTCACTAAGAGGAATTAATCAAATAGCTTAGTATAAATCTTATGGAACTCTCCTGTCATTCTGTTCATTCCTCCGGGTCGGGGAAGATCACTCTACGGATTACTTCGGGAGTGTGCTGGTCAAACTCTCTGCCTCCGAGCAGAGAGGATCCCCAAACGAGGTTATGTCGAAGGGCAGAGTCTCGTCTCGGCAGACAGCTACCCGACCCCGTTTTAATTGATTGGTCACTAAGAGGAATTAATCAAATAGCTTAGTATAAATCTTATGGAACTCTCCTGTCATTCTGTTCATTCCTCCGGGTCGGGAAGATCACTCTACGGATTACTTCGGGAGTGTGCTGGTCAAAAACTCTCTTGAGCAGAGAGGATCCCCAAACGAGGTTATGTCGAAGGGCAGACTCGTCTCGGCAGACAGCTACCTGACCCCGTTTTAATTGAGCAGAGAGGAATTAATCAAATAGCCCCTTATGGAACTCTCCTGTCATTCTGTTCATGTCGAAGGAAGATCACTCTACGGGATTACTTCGTGGGAGTGTGTTGGTCAAACTCTCGCCTCCGAGCAGAGAGGATCCCCAAACGAGGTTATGTCGAAGGGCAGATCCCCAAACAGACAGTTACCCGACCCGTTTTAATTGATTGAGTTATAAGAGGAATTAATCAAATAGTTGAAGGGTGAACATTATTATAAAAAAATTGCTTAATAAATTCTATCAATGATATCACAGATTACTCTATTTGATAGCATATAAGACCTGTGTGCATATACCCATCTCACCAATTAACCAAGGAATATTAGGAGATAAAATTGTTGGTTGGTATATTGAATGTTACTAGAACTTTGTCCATGTTTGCTGTTTGCCTCAGTTTAAAAAAAGTTTCTTTAAAACAAGTTTTGTTTTGTTTGTGTCTTTATTACAAATTTATAAAAGTCTAACATTTGTAAAAAAAGCACAAAATGCAACTTATATGCCATCAAACACAATCATGATCTTGAGTTCTGTAACTATTTGATCTGTAGCAGTGCTTTTGTTTTTTTACTAAAATGTTCATGCAAATCAAAGCTCAAGAGCCTCTCAAGGTAGAGAGTTACTGAATGAGGTTGTTGTATGGCTGTTGGAGGAGGAAGTAAGTGCAGATTATGAGGATAGAAATGGTTGACCCTAGAGTTGAAGGGGTTGAGATTGTAGTGATCGGGGAAGCATCATCTCAAGAGTATATTTCCCAAAGTAACAGTTTCTGCGTGAATTTCTGAAATGAGAAAAATATTTACACTTTTTACATTCAGGCTGTTGTCCTCATCTTTGTTGTTGTTATCTCAATGTTTTGGCCATTGTGCCCACTGTCCTTCATCAGGTGTATATTGATCCAGGTAGCCTATAGGGAATTTCAGATTGAACCCTTTATTTAATCTACAGGGGTAGATTGTTCTTGTTCCACTGCACAGATGTAGGGATGTCTCATCTAGTTCATAGTTTTAGTACTGCACAGACGAGATTATCTGATACACCTAACCAAACAATTTCAAATTAAATTACGTCATACAATAGCATCTTTAAGAAGGAGCAAGTTTAAAATAAGTTGGTGTTAAAAATTAATATTTAAAAAAAAATTAAATAATGTATTTCAAGGAAGATATGATTTTTGATAATAAATTCAATTTCACTATCAAATCCACTTACAAGTGAATACAGTTATACCTCAGGTACAATAAATAAGGATAAAAGTATATAAAATCATATTAAAATACGTACATTTACACTACAGTAAATGTTAATATAATCATCATAAATCCTAGAGAACGAAATATGAAAATAGAAAACATTCTGAGATTACGTTTTTTTCTGTACTATATTAAAAACCTAAAATTTATTTGTTTGCAAGCTTAAAATAGATTCTTATTGATCCCGTATTATTAAAAATGCATTTATAAATAAGAATAAAAGTATATAAAATCATATTAAAATATGTACACTTTTTACAGTAATCCTGGTAAATTTATAAATATTGGTAAAACATAAATTAGTTTATTTTCTACTATTGCAAAATAATTTTAATAACTGTATTTGTTATTTAACCTTACAAAATCATTTTATTTTATAATGTCTTAGAGCAAACCACATTCACAAATAAAGAGTCCATGATGTATCACCAAATTGTAAACATCTACAAGTATGTACGTACATGTATTTATAAATTTAAATTACTTTTTTTTCTGTACTATATTAAAAACTAAAATTTGTAAGCTTAAAATAGATTCTTGTTGACTATATATTATTAAAAATGCATTTATAAATAAAATATAGAACTAGGAATGGTTATTTGTAGTTTAGCCTAGTGACAAGTAAATTTGACTTAAGTTGGTTTTCAACTTAAGTCACCTCTCCTGGAACAAATTACCACTGTAAAGTGGGTATACTTGTACTATCTCCATGAAACTCAGAGTAGGGAAAGATAATTGAACATTCAATGTTATTGTTGCTAAATGATAATATATATGTATATATGAATATATATAAATAAAAAGAAATAAAATAAATATAAAATAGGCTTAGATAACATGAAAATAGACTATATGATTATTTACAATATTTATATGCTTAGATGAATATTTTATAAAATAATATATTTATAAAGTATACTAAAAAAATAGGCTTTCATTATTACTTTCTTGTTTTTTTTTGTTCTTTCCTGCTTCTATAAAACAAGGTTTAAGCTGCAAAGCATAACATGCAAGATGCAAGATACAAGAGAATATCTTTGTGTGTTAATTGGGAACACAAATTCAATTCCGAATTAAAAAGGCAAACATAATTCCTTGAGAAGACATAAGCCTTTTCAAGCAAAATTATCTGACAAATATGGCTATCCTATTTATGTAAAATATAACAAAATGAATGGAAAATTGTTGTCTAATTATGCTGACTCCAGAATTAATTAATAAAATGAAAAAAATGAAAATAAAAAGTGTCTCCACTCTAAATATATACACATGAATCTTGTCTTTTTCTCCATAAATAAGTATTTATTTATTTGCAGGCCTGTGTCTGAAACTACAATAAACATATTTATTGAGCCTAAGTTAACTAAAAATCCTAATTAAAATGCAAAAAAAAAAAAAAAATGAGTAGTTTTTTGGTGGGTGTTACATTTTTAATTATTCTTATTACTTATGGGACTGCTATTGTGAAGAGAATTTTTAAAAAATGTTCATACATTGTATGAAAATACAATGAAATGTAATTAAAAATAGATGCGGAAAGATGAAAACCCTTAATTCTGTTATTCATTTCAAAGATGAATGCTCTCTACAAATAATAATCAGTATCATTTTATTGAAAACAAATAAATGTTGTCAGTGGTAAGTCTGGTAGGAGGTGTGGGGGTTCTCAGGGTAGTGTCAAAAAGTTTTGGAAAATGCAAGAAGTCCAACAAAACCAAATATATATATATATATATATATATATATATATATATAAAATAAAAATAAATTAGAGAATAAATAAAGTAGATCCGTTGTGGCCTTTGGGAAGAATTGATGCATAACATTAAAGAATCATGGACTTCTTTAAAGAATTGTAAGATTTTGAAAAAAATTTTTTCAAAAAATGACAATTCATCATCCTGACATGTGAAGAAGAAAATGAAGGTGAAGGAGGAGGTGAAAAAGAAGGCACAGAATAATGGCTAAAAGTGGAAGAAAAAAAAGTATTAAAAGAAGAAAATTTAAAAAAAAAAAAGAAAGCAAAACAAAGAATTCTAATGTCTTGTCAAGTAACCAGAATTTTCTGCTGACAAAAACAGCAAGAAAACAAAGAAATCTCTTTTTCTTCTTTTTTATTCTATGAAAAACAAAAATATATCTTTCCCAGTGAATTTTGAAAGTTTTGCTTTCTTCATCTTGCTAATGGTCAGTATTCTTTACATGTAAGCAGTTTGTTTATGGAAAGATTTCTGCTTTTACATTTGAATAATTTAAAGAATATCCCTATTTTATTTTCTTCCAAATTTTTGATTAAAAATCTCTCAGCATTAGATGATTTGTTTTTTATGGCTTATCAACCTTTTGCAGCTTATTTAAAGCCAGAAAATATTTTTAGATTGTAAGAATTTTTTAGAGATAATAATGATTTACTGATACAAGCCCTGCTATTCAACCTATAGCTTGGAAGAGAAGAGATGAATCCATACATTTCCCAGGATTATTTGTGTCTAAATGAATACAATGAACCCAACTGGAACTGGAACTGGAAAATTGGCTCTCCAAAATCCAATTCGAAGCTGTTAACTATTACATCACTTACATATCCAGGCTTACAACAGCTGTCATTCCCAAACAGTCACCCATCTAGGTACTGACCAGATTCAATATTGCTTAACTTTAGTGTGCGTATGAGAACTGGTGTTTCAACATCATATGGCCATAAACCTGCATTGGTGGGAACCTGTGATTGAAATGACTATTATCCATAAACCATTGCTTACCTAAATATGTAGTATTTTTTACAGAACAAAGTTAAATCAGGAGGAGGAAGCAATAGAGGTACACGGATTGTAATATACTAATCTTTTCATTCCTGTCTGAATAGTTAGTCTGATTGGTCTGATAAGGTTAAATTGGCAGCCGATGCCCAAAATGACCTTCGGTCTGTTGTTAACTGGGGTAAAGGATGGTTTATTAATTTTAATGCCTACAAAACTAAACCACTCTCCATTATTCATCTGAGAGACCCCTCTCTGCCTTCCATCAGTATTAATAGTGGTATGAGTCACTATTTTTAAAATCGCCCTTTTCTCAAGAGAGCTCAACCAGATTTCCCAGGAGCATGCATCTATATATATATATATTGATATGAGTAAAAATTTGTCACTTAGCTGATTGATGTTAATTTCAGCACATGTGTGTCACTTATCAGATCAAAGTGCTATAAAAATCATCTGTCTACCCACAATTTACAAGAACCCTTAAGAAAAATTCTGGTTGAGAACACTAAAATTCTATATAATTCGCATTACTGGAGACATCTCACTATTAGAGAAGCCCTGTATATTAAACATCTCACCTCTCCTATCAACCTAAACTTATTTAACAATGACAATGGAGTGTCAAAAGTTTTTTTAAAAATAGAAAAATGTTCATGTGAATTCTAGCCATGCTCAACATGCAAAGGTTTGGAATAAACATTCATATTGAAAACAACACAATATATATATATATATATATATATATATATATAACATGCAATGATAACAGCAAAAATTGCAATATGAACACTGATAAAAAATGGCTGCTGAAGACATTAAGTTTGTAAGTCCCAGAAATTCATACACAGATGTCTTTAAGGACACATGGCACAGTGGATAAAGGTGTTGGTTAGATCCAGTGACAGGACCCAAAGGCAGTGGAGAACTTGGAGAGGTGAATTAACTGGAGATAACTGATAACTGACATCCATTAGACATGGCATGTGGAACTAGAACATTGTTTAGTTCCACGTTCAGAAATAAAGGGTTCAGTTCAACATTCCAACCACCTGAGCGTACAACGGCCGAAATGTTATGATAAATATGGCCACAAAGATGAGGACAATAGTCTGAATAATGTAAATAGTGTACATGATACCTCATCTCATATATATATATATGTATGTATGATTAAAAATATTTTTAAGTTATTCTATATTTATGGGTTAAAGTGCTCAATATCAGGGATTGACTGTATGTAAAAGTTAAAAGTGGACATTGAAGTCAGCGCTCAGAGACGACAGTTTGTTTCATAAAAAATACAATTGTCAGGCTATGTGCATTGTGTTTTGGCTCAACTTTTTATATATACAGGTAAGTTATGCATTGTGGGTAATCTATTGTATTATTATAACAGTTATTTTGATGGGCCTGGTTTGTTAATTTGCTTATTATTTACTTAGTTTATTTACTTATTTGTTTGGATTAATTCATTTTACTTGTTTTTTTCTTTTCTTTATTTTATTTTATTTATTTATTTTGATTTGTTCTTGTTCATTTTAAGTTTTTGATTTCTAAGTAGTGTAGAAAAAATTTGTTTTTAATTTCCCAGATATGTTTGTGCTGTTCCTGTATTTACTATTTGTAAAGGATGTTTTGTGTGCATAGTTTCTATGTTTCCAGGGTTCTTTAGCTTATCCTATGTATATTTTTTCTTTGTTATCTGCTGATTTTACAGTGTCTTGCTATATTACATTGTTTTGCAAGCAATTTCTGGTTAAGAGACATTTGTTCTTTATTCTGCATTTACATGAGGGTTTAATTTGTTCATGTGGTTTGTTGATTGTTTTCCTGTTGTGCTTTTTTATTAATTATGTCCTGTTCTCAGTGTAACTGTAGCCGATTTTATTGTGTTTATGTTGAATATTTTGTGAAGAGTGCTTGATGCAGGAGAGTGTTTGTTTATGAGTTTAATGAATATTTTTCCTACATTTGTTTTTACTATTTTGTTGTATGGTGGGTTGAACCATATTATGTTTCTCTTCCATTTTTTGTGGTGTGTATGTGAGTGTTGCTGGGAATCCACTATCTTTTAGGTCTTTTTCATAGTCTTTCTTAGCTTTGATGAATATGGTTTCATTAGAAGAATTGTTAGAAAGCCTTCAGTTAATTAATTGTGGTATCTACTTGATTATTTATGTTGGGTTGTTTGAAGATATACAGTGGTTTATTATTGGGTTTTCTGTATGGTTTATATATACAATTTCTTAGGTTGAAGTTGACATCTAGAAAATCTACTTTGTTTAGGTTACTTTTTATGTCTATGCCAAATCCCATATTTTTGCGTTCTGGGTAAGACAATAAACTATGTCCAACAGCAAGGTCTCTAATCAGGAGGCTTTGAGGAGCATGGAACCACCTCTTAATTGTTGGTGTTCCCAGGTCCACTCTGACCCAGTGTGGTAGCAGCTGTTAAAAATCCAGGTATAGGCAAATAGTTAAAAAAAAACTAAGATAAAAAAAATTTGAAAAATCTTGTAAAAATAGGTTTTAATACCAGAGGGTGAAAAAAAAAAAAATTATTACCAGAAATAAATTTTTGAAAAAAAAAAAAAACTATTATTAAGCACTATGTTAAAAAAAAAAAATATTACCTGTAATATAAATTTAAAAAAAAAAACTATTACCAGCAATACGGCCAAAAAAAAATATTACTAGCTATACAATTTTGAGGAAAAAAATATTATCAGAAATAGATTTTTGACAAAACAAAAATATTACCAGGAAAAAAAAAAGTTGTCGGCATTAAATGACCCATTGAGGTTGATATGCTGTAAAACAAACCAAAACCAAAACCAAAACCAAACCCATATTTTTGAAAATCTTTATAATTGTTTTTCTAGTTTTGTCTGTGTTTTGTTTCAGTTTCTTTTTGTAGAGTCTTGTATCATTTCTATTGATTATTTTAATTAGTTTGTGTAGCAAATATGTACTTATGAGTTTGCAAGTTTCTGTACCGTCAAAGCTTCCCTTTGTAACGTCAAATGTCCCTTCTTTCTTTATCCAGGCATCTTAATAATTTCATAATTTCTGTTTTTGCTTTCTATATAATCATATATATATATATATTCGCTTAGGTGAAACCTTGGTAGGTTTGTCTGGCTCTCTAGGTTTAACTATATATATATATATATATATATGGGATTACATAGAAAACAAAAACAGAAATTATGATCTACAATTGAAATGATAGCAAAATTTAGGATTAAAATACACTGAATCAGTCATAAACATTCAGGAGGTGGTATTTGGAAATATTAAAGTCCTTGATGGATGGATCACTTGTATTAAATTTAGTATAGGAGATGAGGAAACTGTGCTAGGGGTAATTTCAAACTAAACTGCAAATTGTTAAAAAAACCATTAATCTGAAATCTCAAGTCATTTTCTTAAATAGATCAAGACTTTCATATGGATATCATGTGCGGTACCAAACTGACTGAGAAATATCTAAACTGTCAGTTGTACACAACTAAATTCTACAATCAATGATTAAAAAGACTTTGTGTAAGTGAAATCTATGAATCTTGATGAACACCATCCATTGGACATTGTGGTCTGGCAATACTGAATCACTAAAGAACTGTACTAAACAGAAGAGGCTACCAGTGCTTTCAGCAAACTTCACCATCGCTTGTGGAATGAGCGGGGTATTCGACTGTATATGAAAATTTGAGTTTACAGAGCTGTTGTACTTGCCATCCTTTTGTATGGCTCAGAGTCGTGGACTCCATACAGGTACCATATATGCCAGCTAGATGTTTTCCATAAAAGCTGTCTGTGTGCAATCTGTGGAGTTAAGCTTCAAGATAGGACATCTAACATAGACCCGTTTAACAGGTGTAATATTGGAGGAATCGAGACTTTTACAGACTTGATACATTCTCAGTTACAGTGGACTGGTCATGTCTTGAGAATGTCTGATGACAGGATACCCAAGATCCTAATGTACAGCCAGTTAGATCAGGGCTACAGGAATGTAGGACGCCCATGGCTAAGATACAAAGACAAGCTGAAAAGCAACTTGTCAGCAGTCAATATACCACATAACACCCTTGAGTGCTTACCCTTGGAGCAGGTAGAATGGAGATCAACGTGTTTTAGTGGACTCAGCAATTTTCAATCTGCTTGTCTGAATCATCTTCAAGAAATGAGAGCAAGATCTAAAAGGTCAGCCAATCTAATAGTGATCTCATCTCACAATCCTCACACTTGCTCCATATGTGGCCTCCTTTGTAAATCACTAGTGGGTCTTAAATGCCACTTAAGATTATCGCACAAATTTTCATAACTGAATCAATAAGCTGTCAGATCATCATATGTCACAACTGATGGGAGAGTCCATTATTATTATTATATATATATATATATATATATATATACTGGACACTCCCACTCAGTTCTTAGAATCAACAGCCAGACTACCTGCATGTAACATTTGGTTATACTGGTAAAGGCTTATGCAGAACCAACCACACTTTTTGGAAGAGCCGAATACAGAGAACTGGTATATATTATGCCACAAGGTCCCCAACTGACCCACTGCAGGTTTTGAATTCAGAGTTGTCCTTGTCCTAGTTCATTTGCCATCCAAGGCTATAGGAACCACTCTGTCCTGCTATTTACCCATAGCTGTGGGGAGAAGAGATGGATTCATACCTTTATCAAGAGTATTAGCATGTAAGTGAATGTAATGAATCCAATTGGAATTTGAACTTAGCTTTCTGATTACTCAGTTTGTGCCCCAATCCATTACTCCACTGTCCCTCCATTATATATATATATATATATATATATATATATATATGAAGAAATATAGTTTTAATGTATGCTATATTTATGGGATAAAGTGCTCAATATTAGAGCATATGGAAATACAAAAGTGGACATTGAAGTCAACA